GTGGGAGAGTCAACTGAATGACGTGAATCCGCCCAACATGTGCCCGAGAGACAAGTGAGTTTAATAAATGGGAATTTATGCCCTCCACACCGCACTTTAAAAAAGGGCTTAGTGTGTTCACTCAGTTCATGGGCGAAGTAAGATATTTCATAATAAATAATAGTCCGCCAATAGCGGTATCAAAAATCATCAACAGCTCACAGCAGATTAGTTGCATGCGTCAGACACGCACGTACCGCCGTGGTAGCAAGTATCTTCGTTTCTCGAAAATACTTTCTGATCATATAGTTACCCACCGAAAATTAGGAATCTAATTAATTAGACGCACTACCAGTCTAGGTGACCAAGCAAAAAGTAGTGGGTATTTCTTTGACATATCAAACAGCTACACGCTTCGTGAGTGCAGCTTAACGTGATGTCATTCAGCTTGTGGGAAAATATCCAAAACAGATATCACATCACCAGATACCTACTGCGATGAGTATCGAAGACAATCCTGCTGAATCGGGCTCACGAAATTCGTAACTCCGGTTCCATACTCCACCCAGATGAGACTTGACGCACTTCCGAAAATGCCTCATGAGGGATGCTAAACACCAACGACGACAGTTACTGGGCGATTTGGCCACTTGTGGTGTTCCTAGTTATCAGCGCTACAATCTGCGGTTAGTTCCATCAAAATTAAACATCAGGTGAAACAGCCGGAGTTGAGACTGCAACAGTAAACAAGATCTAAACCGGCCTTGAAGACCCGCGTTGGGTAGGAATCCCATCTACGGTTCCTACGACCCAAATGTAAGGCGCGGCCCCAGTTGAGGTAATATGCCACAATTCATATGCGCAATCGAGGATACAAACGCCAAGTATTCAACAAATATTCGACAGTACTTCATTTCACCACACCGAGTGTGCCGATTTCCTCCAATTGTAAGTGGCTTTAAGGCCAGTGGCACCCCATGGACGCAGTCAGCTCGTCGATGTTTGTTGGTCGAATGAATCAACAGTGTCACGGTGACACCCATCTGCCTTCTGATTGGATGAAAGTAACTAAATACATGTGCCCGTAACTTTACAATCCCATAAGATGGTGTTTTGACAGCCCATTTCACTCCCCTTACATCACAAGGCACACAGGCATGCATCCCTTTTTTCTGGGCTACGGTCAATCCGCCTCCACAAGTAGGGCGTGGTGCCATCCTGCTCACCCGCTCGACACCGCTCACCTACCCCCTATGACATGTCACTGTCCGCTCATCAAGAGTGTCGTGCAGACAGACGCGAGCAGACGCCGACGCATAGTGATGCCCAGCCTTGTTCACTCCGGCTTTTATTGGTGGATTTTTGGGACGCCAATGAAGTGTCTCTCCGGCAGTGTTGGGGGGAGCAACACCGAAATATTTGTGTCCGTACTGGGCTACACTGTTCAGCAGATCACGTGAGTTCAGTGTGGTCGTTCACGTTTGCATGACTGATGGCATCTGCCTCCTGATCGGCGTGTCACCATAACGAGGTAAACAACATAGCGTTAGCGTTGGCGGGGTCCGGAGAGTTCGTGCCGTGCCATTCCGAGCTCCACACAAGTACATTTCGTGCGTTTTAATCCCTGATAATATTTAAGATTTTGCATACCATAAACTTTAGTAAGATCATTTCCATACCGCTCTTTCAGATGCCAAACTGGGGACATCACCATGGCGCGCAATCCTGAGAGAAGTGATTCAGAAACGCGAGGGTTTGCCTCAGATTCAAACAAGGTATCAACAGGCTTGTCGTCTGTGGATGAAGGGGTCCACATGAGAATGACCCTGGGTGTCCCGGCACCTGAGTACAGAAAATCCATCTCGCAATTTGCGATCACATGCTAGGCAGCATCGATGGAGTCGCACAATCGTTAGGATTTAACGAAAAGTATGGCATTAGCACATTGATCAGTGGCTTGGCTGGGGTCTGCTCCTCTATGGCGCCGCTCTATGAGCCACAAAGGACTGAAATTCTCTAGAACCAAGACAATTTAGTGGTCTCAGCCGATTTACGCTTATAAGCAAATTACCTGCACGTGGAAAAAGTATGGGTGGATAAAAATTAATTTTGTAATTCAACCTTTGTTGTTCCTCTTAGTGATTTATTTCGGTAAACCTACAGAGCCCACCTGACCCAAGAGTAAAAGCTCATCAACTACCAATACAAACGCTAATATCCTACAAGGAGTCGTATACCACAGCTCATACTGTTCTACTTACGATGAACTATCTCTTGTGGCAATCCATTTCGGAAAATTCGCTTTTGGTCCGGACCTTAGCACATGTAGCTGACCGGATCAAGGTGCACTGCGTTAAGAGGCTACATACCGGACATATATATTCTGTGACCATTAGTAGCTACCGACTTTCGTTCGCTATCGTTCGTCTTTTTGTCATCTAGGATTTTTGTCATCTGTTTAAGTGCATCAGTTGGTAACCTTGATTGGCCGTCATACGTCGTTCGTAGTGGATGTCATCTCAAGGGCCCATTTCCACTAACACCGTTTCCTCAAACTCGCGTGATTGGTTCTGATTTTTCCACTCCTCATTCAACTGTGTCGATTAGCGTCTCACGCTGATGCTTGGCTGCAAGACGTTTTACTAACGCTGTTTCAACTACTGCTGTATCTTATTTAAGTAAAGCAGATTTCTGGCTCGTATTCCGTGTTCGTGTCCGGGGTACGAACAGTCGGCGGAGACACAACACAATGTTCTTTTCTGACCTCATACAATGGAACATTCTCAGTAACGCCTCACGGGATACCCCCAACTCCACACGGACAATGACAGGGTACATTCCTTCATCGCAGTGAAGTACGCAGGGGTCTCCTTGTGCATCGCTAATGTTGATCACCTCAACAGGAAGTAGTATTTTCATAATCCAGGAAGTTAGTTTATACTTTTCTCGGTTGATCCCCTTCTCCGTCCCTAACTGTCTGACTATTCGGCTTATCACAATGTGGGATTGTGAGGGTTTACAGATGAGGCATTCCGAAGTGCCGAACAGGACACTGATGAAGTTATTCTATTTCTGACTTGACCTTCTGTCATCGGATATCGTCAGCTCCTGCAAAAAACAACCATTAAAAGCTTACTGCTATTCTTCAAACAATGCACACCACACCAGCCCAATGCGTATCCACTTATTCTACGGGAAACGGTACAAATCAGATTTTCTCACAGGGGCACGCAGTCCTTGGGTTATCTTACATCTAGCACGTCTTTGGCTAGACAGAAACCGTGTTATTAAACAATTAGTTAACACATTTAATCCTCGAGTTTATCCATGAGTGCGGATACTGCCTCATTGAATGCACTGTGGCTTGAACATCTTCCAGTCTCCTTCCTGTGCTTGTGTGGAGAGGGGACAAAGCATCCAGCTTGTTGGAGTAATGTTCCTTTAAAGTGAAAATTATATAAATGAAGACACATGCAGATTCCGTTAATTATTTCGAAGATGCAGTCGACTCGACCGTCGCCTTTTCGACATTGGTTCCTCGTGGTCGAATCAAACACTTCCTAGACCCTTTGGGCTAAAATACACACAAGGCGGACGTGAAGCAGGTGGATTTGGATCCATGTCTATAAACGCCACTTGCGTTTTAAGAGTTTCTGTGCCTTGGGTGGCACAAGGCATGATGCATGATAGGTACGGTATTGGCTCACTCTACTGACATACAGACAGGATAGCTCTCCGGAGCAACCACTACCCAAATTTAAGCTCACTAATGCAGTAGACACTATGTTTGCTGTATACTGCTTTCAAGAGAGCAGCACTGGCAATCGACTGCCCTAAATTGACTTCGTGGCAACTAGACGCATCGGTCTGTAGCAATGTCTCGCGCTCTAACCTAACTTGGGTAAGATGGAACGTACCAAACTAATGAGCGCCGAAAAATGTAACGACCGCACAGTACTTCTTCCGGCGTGGGATGGCTGCTCGACTGGTATGAGGTGTGGTGAATTTCGCCATTCAGACCCACTTGTTACTTCCTTGAAAACGTTACGATATCTGACTAGTTCACTCTACCTGAGGTCACAAAGTAACTCCAGCAAGAAGTATCATCATCTGACCGACTAAGGGTATACAACATTCTTGATATACCATATATTACCGAATATAATCTGATGATTTTTGGACAATTTTTCCTTTCTGTAGAGGAGGTCGGCTTATAAAACGGCTATACGGAATTTGAAAAAAAACTTGCCGAATCCTCCCAGGAATTCACTGCACACCACTGCACTTAGCTCCCCTTAGCACCAGCCGCTAGATAGGGACGGTATTCCAGAGGGGGTATGAAGTTTCTATAACTGGACACGCTACGTTTGTGTCGAAAATTCTCGGTATATTGCACATTTGACGTGTGCGACGGATGGCAGTAGCGAACCAAAAGCGCTTAAACCTTATGTCCAACCTTGTCTCACACTTCGGAGCGTGAACTTCGCTCTCACCCACTGCTCTACTATGGTTCATATGCATGAGGCTGCTGACTATGCACGATCCCGAATGTGACACACCCTCTCACCTTGATATCGTCGGCTGTCTTGCCTGTTTCATGTGACTTAAACTCTGGTCTATGCACTGTCCGATGCGTTGAAAGTATTTTTTGACGGCCCTACGCCCCATTCACCGCGATTTTAACACATTTCGGTCACCACAACTGACCAATATTTGGGCAGTTTCCACTTGAACACTTGAGAAGCAGTCGTAGAGTAACAATTTCGTTTCTCTTTTGCTGATTTTTTGGGGCTCGGTTAATACCGGGACTTACGTCTTTGGGCAAGTTGACGTTGCAGGTAAACTGTCGGCTAATATTCGGTACTATGCAGTAAATGGTAAAGTAGAATACACAAGTAGTAGTAAAGTGGGATACACAGTTTCGGACTGTCAAGACATACAAAGGTGTCAAGCATTTATGGTATTTTACACAAAAATGAAACTGGCACAGCGAAAGGATGCAGGGGAAGACAAACGCTTACCGACCGGTATTCGTCGCGATCATCTCTGTCCCGTGGACCCACAGTGCCTGCCAAATTTTAACATCACGCAGCCGCAGTGACACGCTACTGTGTTGGTGGTGTTCAGGATCCACAGCCGCGGTGGAAGATATCAAGCAGGTGGACTGGAACATTGGCTGTGCGCGATTCAGCCAATGGATTGCGCCCCCCTTGGGGACTGGAGGAAGTAATCGCTGTAAGACAAGTGGATTGATCCCATTAGTGGTGTTATCGGCTTTCTTGGAATTCAGCGTGGAACAAGACGACTGCGATCCCCGGGTAAATAAGGCATTTTGCGAGGTGGCACCATTCGACAACGATAGATTGGTCTGCGTCCTTGTATCTTTCTGGTGGTTTCGATGTCTCCTGAACTCTGTAGCGAAAGTGCGTGTGCCACTGAGACTCGGATACTGGGTTGCCGCGGGAATTGGGGACACAAGTGCGGCTGTGTCACGCTGGGATCCAGTCATATTCAGAGTCCATTCTTGGCGTGTTACTTCTTCTGGATCAACCGAATACGGCTGTATGCGGGCTGGATTCACACTAGGGTAATTGAACGTGGAAGCGGACGAGTTCCAACTACGCATCGGATTCCACTTTGCCTTGGAACTACCGTGAATTTTGTTACTTTCCATTTCCATAGCCGATGGAACGCAGGGGTCACTGGGTACGAAGTTCCGCTCTAGCACTCTGATATCTCGACCGGGGTATTCGAGGTTCCGGAGCTCATTTGGACAACACTCCGATCGATGTGAGAGGTAGTTTGGGGTGTGACGCTGCTGGTACAAGTCGTGTACCTGATTCATTGCAGGCCAAGCGCGATTGACAGCGTACGGGCTCCCGTAAACGTCACACGAATTCCACTGGCCCGTCCTAATTCGCCAATCTGATACTGCTCCCTCCTTTTGAATCAGTTGCTCTAACATGGGACGTTCGTGTTTAAATAAACTGGTTGGCATATTTTCCTTGCAATAACAAAGACCCGTCGAACATACCGATGGTATGGGTCCAGCGATGACTGCTTGAGTACTAGGATCATCATTGCCTGATGCCATATTCGTGGTGTTTTGAGTGAGCGCGCGCATGCCATCTGAATGTATACAAAACGGATGCATCCTCTGTAACCTGTTGTCGCTATAGTCTGTTGTGAAGGTTGATGGTTGAAGGACAGTGAGTGAAACTGATTCATCAGTTGCAGCTAGTGGTGCAAGTGGTGGTGGAAATTGCAGATTGTTTTGTGACCATCCTCCACCGGAACAGACACTAGCCTCACCACCGGAAGATGACTCGTTTAGGAGTGACGAGGTTAAATCCTGCAATAGACTTGACTGTAGAGATGCGGGATAGTCTGCGGTTACTTGACATCCGCTGTCTCTCTGTTCCTCTTTTGTACAGTCGTTCAAGATTCCAAATTTCGAACTGTTCATGTGTTCCTCGAGACCTGCGTGCATATTTTGTTTTTGATCGGATTCCAGGCAAGTTGTGTACCAAAACGTCGAATAATCACCAGGTGGATCCATTTGTATCTGAGGTGTAACATAACGGAAATCGGTTAGATATGATTGGGCTCCCGATTACACGTAATATATTCCATTTACAACTTTTATGCTAGTTATGTAACATGGGTCCAAATATGTCACGCTGGATTTAGATCAACAAAGTGCCAATTTAGTTATATTCTCTTTGAATGAAATTGGCACCGTTTGAATAGACTTAATGAACAATCGGGATATATTGTAACGCCGTTAAGAATCTGTTTTAACTTGGAGTAATGGGATGTACTTGAAACCGATCGGGAAACTGTTAGTTCCGAGAGGTGTAATGGCATTTGCTTGGAGTATTTGTTGGCAGAACTCCACCATTTCCGCGAATGCCATGTCAGACACAGCATAGAGGGAACGCAGCATTAGAGGGGATTTCATACCAAACAACAGTGAGAATCGTAATCGACGGATGTGCGCCACTAATCAGTCCCAATACAACGAAACGACCGTCTGGCACTTTCATGGATGAGTAGCGGCCGTCTGGCTTAATCTGTGGCGATATTTAAGCTACACTGTTGCACCAGTTCCAACTGCATGCCACCATCACCAACAAAAAGGTGTGTTTGACACTCTTTTTGCCAGAGTGTAGAAATATTTGAATAAGCTAAAGCTGTCCAAGTATAAGCTCTCCTGGCAAGTTTGCCACATCCCCATGGTAAAAAAAGCATGTACAGTCATGCCAGACAAAAAAAGAATTTAAAATACATTTTCGCCAGTCACACTACTATTGCAGAATTAACAACGCGTGGCAATGGCTAACAGAACCATAACGCTAGGCAGAGTGGAATGTTAGTACGACATTTTACTGGAACTAAGCGTCAAGCTGGTGCTCGTCGTTAAGTCGATGCATCTGACCGAATTACGTTATGACGCAGAGCGATAATGAGCCAGCTGAAGCAAGCAGTGTTTTGAAGACAAACCGTTACGTGGTTGGTGAAAATGAACAATTTGGGCATTCCAACTGTGGAATCATCGACGAAATCACCAGATCGTGGAATTAATGCTTCACACATTTGATGCCTAGCTCATTTGATCACTCATGCATATGCCGATGACCGTCAAACACAACGGTTGTGGTTTCAATTCCCAAAGGGGTCGGAAGGATGTGACCTGCTATCCTCTCGGAAAAGAACAAAACAACCGCCCAATGCTTTCCTAAATGTACGCGGATTATTTTACTGTGACCTAAGTGTGTGATTTTGGGTCTGAAGTTATCGCACTGATAATGCTCGTTAAAAGCCAGACATTCTAAACTTTATGGATGATCTTAAAATTTGACAGTCATTCAGGAGAGTAGATGACCACACAGCATTGCAAGGCGATCCCAACAAGGCTTGCAAGAGGTCGCTTCAAAATCTGTCCGAGTTCAACGCTGTCAAATGCAAAATAATGAGCAGAAGCCACCAAAACCCCTGCAAATATAAACTGGGTGAACACGTGTTACAGCGCGCTTCTCATGAAATTGATCTTGGGGTGATCGTGCAGGACGATCACGGATGCTCAAGATACGTCTGGAAAGCGGTAATAAAGCCAGCCAGCATTTAGGTCAACGGCAGACAGTTTGGCCGGTTTGATCCTACCTTTTTCGGTTATGTGTCGTCCGATGTAGAATACGCCATCCATGTGGGGCTCACTTAGCAATAATGACGTCGCTGCTCTTGGAAATTCACAGTGGAAGAAGAATAAGATGGTTAACGGTTTGCTCCAACTTCTCAACCAGTTCGGGCAAAATACTTTAAGTAACTTGAAAATCCCCATTTGTGCAAATGAGAACAAAGAGACCACTTGGTGAGCAAGTGCTTTTAATGATTCATCTTCAGACCGATACAATCATATATAGGGTTAAAAAGTAAGATCGACATAGTTGATACAATTAACGTAGGGTAAAAATCGAAAATCGAAATACTTTAGTTTTCAAGGAACATTATCACCGTCTACGTAGTGAGCTTATATTTGTGTATCCGACCCTCAAGGGTCCTAACCATCCATGACGACACTTATTGAAAATCAACCCCAATATTTCCATGAGAGGCAAAGGCGTAGCAAAGGGGCGGTCCCCCTTGGCGGCATGTGACAAAGGGCAGCATTTTGAGTATTTCATGTTTTCGAAACCAAATAGAAAGTGCAAGGTTTCCAAATAAGCTGAGCGTTGACTATTTTAATGTTACTCTGTATGACCGATAACACCTTTGCGCCATGTGTCATACGTGTACAGAAGTTCTTCCAAGGGATCGCTTTACTTGTGTCATTATTATCACTTATAACATATTTATATCAGTGCCTCAAAAGATCATCCATTTCATCGAAAATTAATGTGCACTTTACCCTGAGTGGATTGTGCGGCTTTCAAGCGCGTATTCTGCCTTCAATCAGGGCGAAAATATTGCTACTGCCCCACTCGGAAACAGTAGTTGCTACGCCACTGCCGAGGTCCCCAATTAAAGTTGGCCATGCAGTAAAGTGGTTAAGAATACCGACGGAAAATTTTCTCCATTTACGTATCAGAAGTTTGAAAAGGTCTTCCGTATTCTGTCATCTCCGCTCCTACCTTATCTGAGTACAAAACCATACTCGGTTGCGAATTACATCATCACGCGTATTACATGATTCAACGCAAGTCACAAGAACATTGGACAACGTAAGCAAATGTGTGTACAGGGAAAATTTGCGGTGAGTCCACTGTTACGCCTTACCTTTTCCTGAGACATTTGCTTTTGGTCCCACATTTACCTACGGAAAGTGTTTAGCAATTGTTTTTTTAATATGTGATAAATCCATTGTTGCAAATGTTTGTGTGATAGTGCCTATTTATCGGCCACACGGCGGCGTAAACGTTCAAGGCTGATCACAAACTTACTAGTGCACGGTACGCTGTCGAGTATTCACATGGCTCTCAATGCAAGCCACTGCAAATGGCGCATGTCGACGGAACGGGTATCCACTATACCAATCTTTTTCACCTACCAGCATCTCATGGTCAAGGGGTTGACTATGACCGCATGAATACACCATAAAAAGCATCCGAATCCATTTGTTCGTATAATGAATACATTTCCAAGCAAAATCACTGGTGGGAAATGGATCCGGCGATCAAGGGGTTTTGTGGCTTTGTAGTACCCTGAAGCCCTATCTGACGAAAACCACATTGAGCGGTCAGTAGTGTAGTCTGATTCCAAATGTTGGTGAGTTCGAAATCTACATTAAAAGGAGTAGTCAGAGTATTTTCCACCTCGTCTAACATGCTGATTTGTGCTGTTACTCAGTGGACGATGCAACCTTTAGGAAAAATCGACAACTGATCTGCTACCAGCCCCCCGGTTCTAATATCACACGGAACATTTCGTGGGCCTGAACGGTCCTAATCTCAGCTAGAATCTCAACCTCTATAACCACTTATAACGTTCAATGTGACATACTCATTTTAGAGAGTACCAGAGCAAGACGAATTGTCCAAGGCCAACAAACTTTTCATTTCGGCCTCCATTTTCTGGTGTGTAAATTTTTCCTGGTTAACCGCCGTTATATTCAATGAAACAGAGGTGGCAAATCGACGTCATGGTGAGGAAAACCGCTGCTGTCAACCGCATTACAGAAACCTGAAGATAACTTGCGATATTGCAATAGTTCAGGCTTTAGGTTCATTGCGTCCCTCAGAGGCCTAGGATCTCCTACGACTGTCACTGAAATCTCTGCTTTCACGCTGGCACTTGACGACTGTCGGCCTGTTCTCCATGAAGGACATTGGTGCGTTAACCTTGTCACTCCCTCCCAAAACAAGTCACTCGCATCATGCAAGGCGCACTAACGCTTCTCCAGACAGAAAAGTGGATAAACCACGGGTGGGTTGAAACCTAACAGGTAGAGATTTCAACCAGCTTCTATTCACTGGTCTCTATGGGTTAAAAAGTGACCCACTTGTGGATTATGGCGGTAATTCGTCTTTGGATTTGGTTATGCTTCGTGTTCTCAGTCATTGGCATACCCTACCATTATCCACGCTTCCCATATAAGAAAAAGGCAGGAAACGAAAAGCTTCTTCGTGAAGCTGAACTGCGCTGCTCTGATACTTGCAAGAAGCACACTTCTGTGGTGGAAATCAAAACCTGCGTACGCAAATGTATTAGTCCGGATTGTCATAACATTCTATACTCCCTTGATCCTCTCGAAGAAGACGAGATTGATGTGAGATATAATTCTTTCAAAGGTTGCTTTTTGCGTGAGCTGAAGTTGAAAGCATTTAATATTAGATAGACTTACAGGTAAGCCTTTGATTTTTTGGCGACCCGTTACATAATTGGGCTTTCGATCTGAATATTTATTGCCATATTACCACCTGCAATGTTCTTCAACTTAGTTTTTGAAATCTGCATTGCACGGTAAAGTGCACTCCTCCACTGCACAGGTAGACAGCTAACCGTCCGTTTTGTGCTTTTTTCCATCACTGGCATAACTATGGAGCAACAAAGTGACATAACATATCTAGCTACGACATCAGAAGATTTGACGCATCATTAAGTCCATAGTTATCGATATAGAACTCATCGATGGATTTGTACATCTGGTCAGCTGGAGTGACCGTTCGGTTGCCTTCGGTCGACTGATTTGTGTGCCCCTAGCAGTCCCATTGAGGCACATCTCGGTAACATACCGGTTACACGAAATTTTTTAATTGTAACCATGTATCCAGTACTGCGCTACGGGGTTGTTGAAACGGTATTCGATGAATATGCAATTGTGAATATGCAAATTGTGAAAATTTTATTCACGGCATGTGTTAAGTTTGCGCTCTGAAAATTTCCGAGTGGCCGCTGTTTTGACAAATGTTGTCTCATGGTGATAGCCAGGATCATAAAAATTGACGACTTAAAACTTTCCAATAGTCACATCGGCGCACACCATTTGGTCACTCCTGTTGCCGTGGTCACTCGAGCGTACACCAATTGGTCACTCATTTTATGTGGAGTTCTATTTTACAAGGCCTG